AGCAGCAATGGGGCATCATAAAGTTTCCCACATGGCTGCAGCTATTGCTGTGTGCTGCAATTTTGTAAACAGTGCGATCTAGGGGAAGCAGCAGGGACAAATACATGCATTGCCCTGTGTTCATCTGTACTGCAGTATCCTGCCTCTACGGAGTTCTGTCTGGCTCCTGCCACCTTCCAAGTTCTCAACCTTACCCTCCATTTGGATGTGGGGCGGGGGAGAGGAAGAGTATTGTGCTGCTGGGTTCCCTGATTGAGGGTGGGATAGGGTGGGGGTCAGTAAATTTATCTGTGCAATAGTGGTGGGTGGGTGGGTGCCAGTTTCTCACTTCTCACCTATGTGCTTTGCACTACATGGTACATCCCAGCTAATGGGAGAGCCGGGCAGCCTGAAGGGTTCCCAGAGAAGCCATTGAAGTATCCCTTTAGAAAACGTGGGCCACTTGAACTCCTCTGACATTAAGCTCAAGTGAGCACAAGGAGCGGTCTCAAGGATTGCAGGCGTGACTGCAGACCTGTAGCAAGCTACCCTGGCCCGACCCGGCTGCAGGAATAAGGAAAGAGTAAGATTTTGTCTTAGAAAAAAAATGGTAGAAATTAAGGTAAGGAAATGTGTTAACGTTGTTGGAAAGGTTAAAAACAAATGTAGGGTTACGTTCCTTCTGGAAAAATGACCATTTGTGTGTGTTAACGTGCAACTTTTCCTTTTCTCAACCAGCTTTGCCCTTTGAAAGCCATGCTTACTCCGGCCAGAGGGAGCGAGCTTGGCTCTTGGCCTCCTGCCACATTAGAAAAATCCCTTTAAAATGGTGTTTGTTAACCAGTCTATTGTGCTGCCAGCATTGGGCAGAACATAGTTAAAATGTGTCGGGGTTTTTTTTAGAGCCCCCAGGTGGGGGAGGTAATATCTTTTATTGGACCAACTTCTGATGGTGAGAGAGACAAGCTTTCAGGCCACACTGAGCTTTTCTTCAGGGCTGGGAAAGGTAGTTTTAAATCAATTTATGATCAGTTTGCTAACCTGGCAGCCAGTTGAGTGCTCAGTCCTGTAAGATGCTGACCACTTTAGCCCTGATCCAGCAAAGCTTTTAGATACATGCTTAACTTTAAATCTTTGAGCAGGGTCATTGAAATCAGTGTGCACAGGGTAAAAAGCCTGTTTGCCTCCTGTGAGATTTGGTTCTTAGAATATGAGTCCCCACTACTACGTTATCTACTGTGTGTAAGTGATAAAGCGAAGGCAGATAAGGACTGACTCCCTCTGCTCTGGGGATAAAACTTTTTATGAACAGTTTGAAACACTGTTCAAAACCAGTTTAGGCTAATCGGATTTGCCTGGTCAACATAGGCAGGGGTTAACTATTTCACAATCGTGTTTGAAAAGCTACTGTAGACCAGTGTTTAGGTCTAGTGCACATAAATCCCGTCATCTCGAATGGGTTGTAAATTGTGATTCAGACCGATTTGACTATAGAAAGATCTGCTGACTATATTCTTGTATAAAGTCTCTTGAAATAATAGCTGTTATGATTATTTTGTTTTGGATATTTACCTGGCAAGGATTTAACCTCCCAAGTAAATAGTTTTTAAAAATGATTTGGATAAACAGTAATCTCCAGTAGCCTGGTCTCCACAGCATTTTTTGGTGGGGGTAGAGAGGAGATTTCCCCACCCTTGTATTACTCTACCCGTTCCGCTCCACTGGTGGGAGCTTTAGGCTATGTCTACACCGAAACCGGAAGATGTACTTTCCTTCTCAAGTAGACATGCCAGCTTGATCAATGCTGGTGCAGGCATCCCAAAATAGCCGTGTAATCTCGGTGGTGCAAGCAACAGGATGATCTAGCTACCCTATGATCCCCTCTGAGATGGTAGGTGTGTACTTGGCCAGCCAGCCCTCCTGCTGCTCATGCTTCTGCAGCTACACTTCTATTTATGGCTACTCAAGCTGGGGATTACAACTTCCTCCTCAACAGGGCAGAGCCCTTTTGCCACCATGCCGTCCAACTCAGCTCAGAGCAAGTCTTGATGTTAGAAGGTAAAAATGCCTCGGCCTTGCCTCCAGTAGCTCTCCCACCATTTCTGTCACCAGCAGAGGTGCACCAGCGGTTCTGCAAAGATGGGTAGATTTCCTCAAAATTGTTATTGAAGTCACAGCAGACGTGGGCAGAGCCTAACTCTAGGCTGGAGCCAATTCAGGGCACTTCCCATGTCCAGAACTAGGACATGTCTCCAGAAATGGATTTAGAAATGTCAATTGTGTTAAAATCTTTAAAGGGCCATGGTCAAGATTAGTCATAAGTAAAAATCCTCTATTAATAATGTCTCAAATTGTGAATATAGAATTCTCATTTCATTTTCACCTTTTATGCTGTTTGTTTTTTCTCTTCACGGATGGTCCAACCCTGCAAAAGTTTACTCCCATGAATAATTCTCTCTCGGGCAAGCACATCATTTGACATCAGTGGGATGTCTCGTGTGAATAGGAGTTGCAAGACAGCATCCTTAGGTTGAGCAATAAAACAAACCTGGTCAGATTAGCTGGTTTTGTTTATACTAGTAGTTATTTTTCTGCTTCTTGTGGGGTGGTAACCAGTGTAATATAATGGAAATGAATCCCACAGAAAGTTTTAATTGAATATTTAGAAAATAATTAAAAACACTAGTGTAAGTAAATAAACAATTAGATGTTGTGTTTGAACTACTTGACACTGTTTTAAATTATAGGAAAACATTATAAAATAAGTAATCTGAATCTAGCGTATGATGACTATTTCTGTGAAAACAACTAGTTGCAAGAGAATACAAAAGGGTGCTGAAAGTACTGGAAATATGAGCTACAAAGTACCTTTTAAAAGGGCCATTTGTTAGATGGATAAATATAAATAAATTCAAGATTGTGTGTGTGTGTGTGTGTGTGTGTGTGTGTGTGTGTGTGTGTGTGTGTGTGTAGTAAGT